ATAAATCTCGAAAATGAGTAATTGATTAATAAAAAATATGAAAAATATAACCTAAAAATTCAGCATAAAGTCATTTTCATATTTTTTTATTAATCTATTACACATTTTCGTGATTTATCGAAAAAAATAAAAATTTTAAAAAATTGTTGAAATTGTTGAATTTAAGGTTACTATATTTATTTGTGAATTTTTGGCGTTAATATTTTATATTTTTTTCATATTTTTCCTATTTTTATTAGTCAATTACTCATTTTCGGGATTTATCGAATTTTTTTTGTTGAAAATGGGTCGGGTAGTTTATTTAAAAGGGGGGTATATCTAGACCTTTTCGAATAGTTTAGGGACATATTTGACCCTTTTCCCTTTAATATAAATGTCACGTGGTAATGTAAAAATGACGTGGCAATTCCATTTGGCATTTAACGCCCATAAGGGCATATCTAGACGAAAAGTTGAACGGCGAGGACACGAGTGAGCCAAACTTTAAACGGGATATATCTAGACCTTTTCGAATAGTTTAGGGACATATTTGACCCTTTTCTCTTATTGGAATTTGTCGCTTAGTAATAATTAGTAAGGGGATTTATTAGCAAATAATGCCATTAAATTTGAGAATACACTTGTGCCAAAAACAAAATAATATACTTTCTTCCTTTCATTTGATTTGACATTTTTTCCTTTTTCTTTTCAAAAAAAGAATATTATTTTATTGTAATTAGTAATAATTTAATTTTAATTTTTTTAATTTATTCTTAATTAAATGAATTACAACCACACAAATATTTAAAAAATATTCTAGACAACAAATTGTAAAAGTTTTTTATTTTTTTTCTTAAACACCATGTCAAATCAAAAAAAATATCACATAAAATAAGATGGAGGGATTAATAATTTGCGCTAAACACCCGTAACTCTAGCAACACAGTTGGAAAGATGTCTTCCGTATTGCAAAGACACTTTAGTCCCCGATATTTATGAAAATCGTACAAATTAATACGTTGTTTTAAGTTAATTTATTTGATATTTTTTCCTTTTTAGTTTATAAAAAAATATCTTTTTATATTTAATAATAATTTAATTATCAATACCGTAAATTTAATATCTCTATACAAGTCTTTAAGAAGAGAGATCACATAAGAAGAAAATTTATTCTAAAATCTGCAATCTCTTGAAATAACAAGCATTTGTAGTGCACTTTACTAGCTTATAAGTCGGCGAAATAAGAGGAATTACTTTTCGGAAAGATGTTTTTATACCCCACCTAGTAGGTGCCATATTCATTTTAGGGTCGGATAGTTTCAATTTGTCATATAAAATGTTTTTAAATTTTTTTTCATATACTCCTTCTGTTAAACAATATTTGTCCATATTGACTTTGCACACTTTTTAAAAAACGATTAATAGAAATATAATTTTATTATATTACCCTTTGAATTATTAACAGGTCAAAATGTAAGATTAATTGCATGGACTTTTTAACCATTAGTTATGGGAATCCAATAACACGATCAAAATTCAATTTTGATGTCAAATTCAAGAACGAAAAAGTACTAAAATTGCTTTTCAACCATTTTGTTCATAAAATTGCTTTTACAGTATCAAGTAATTGACCGGGCTTTGAACGAGAAGGACCATTTTCTTGCTTAAAGTGGAAGCTAAAGCTATTTAAAAAGAATTAAAATGGGCAAGTGAACTTTGCTTTCTTACACTTCTTAAATAAAAGTTTGTTAAGGTGGTCAACTTTTTGTATGTGTTTATAAACTGACGCTTTGCCTTATATTGCTTTTAGAATTGGAACAATATGAAGATCGAAGATTACTTTCAATTAGCGGTGACAAATGAAAAAATTCAGTTAAATTTGGAAGAATTACTATTGTGTCAACATAAAATGAATAATAATCTAATCTGTCCATATAAAATGATACAAAGCACATGAAAGATGGTGGAAACCTCTCTTCTTTTTCTTCTCCTCTTTGATTTTATACCCAAATTCTCAGTATGCCTCATATTGAACAACGGATAGATACAATATTGTATCAATCATATTCTGAAAAAGTATACACCACATGATAAATGTATAATAAAGACAAAATACACTTGATTATATTGATACAAATCTATAATCAATTGCAGATACACTCAAATACATCAATACAAACTGAATACACATGGAACAAATACACTTGATATAATTATATTCATTTATACACTTGATACAAAGTGAACACACAAGGGACAAATATACTTGATACAATTATATTTGTCTTTCAATATTTATACAACTCGATACAATTGTATTCATTGATACAAATCAATTGTTTTCGCGATACAACTTGAAACAATGCATACAACACGTATTCATCCTCTCTCTTGCCTCTATCCTTCCTCTCCCAATCTTGTTTGCTTCTCTTCTCCTTCTAACATGTAGCTATGAATCATAATTAAGCAAACTATAACTATTGACCTCTAATCAAGTCTAATCTATAGTCATTTTTGAAAGTTATTCTAAGTTAAATGGGCCGTCCAACGAAATTTTCTCGAACGGAAATAATAGTTGGGTCAAATCCAGTCTACCGTGGCCCAAAATGGGCCCAAATTTAGAGAAACAAGGCAGAAAGCTGACAGAAGGGGAAATTGCGGGTACTTTCTGGCGGCTATCCAGAAAGGGACGATTTCAACTTGCCTTGTTGAAAACGAAAACGAAAACGCCATATATTCTCATAAAACTTGAAGAAGAAAAAAAGAAAAACTTCTTTCCTGAAGAAGAGACTGATAGAGGAAGAAGAAAGTTCTAGATAGAAAATGGTTCTATGGGAGATCACATTAGGAACGGCGTATTTTTTGGGTCTGAAGCGAACTTACAAGCTGTTCTTGAGGATTCAGCGTAAGCTTATTAGTCCAAAGTATCCCAGGCTTCGCGATTTCGCTCAAAGGTATTTTGTTATTTGAATTGGATCTGATTTTGATCTCTAATGATACTTTTTTTTTGTGAATATTAGGTTTAGTTTTTCTTAGCTTATATAATGTATCAATCCGTTGACTGGAAATAGAGACAAGCATTTTGATTCAATATGATATTGATTCGATAATGTATACACTCAATTTCAGGGCAAGTCTGAGAGAGAGGAAAGTGAAAAATTAGTATCTGGAGAAACAGCTTCATAATTAATCATACAATAAGCAATAGCACTTGACTGTTTGCGGCGGTTGCCATTGTCATTGTCCTCATGCTTTTAGGTAAATGAGGAGAATGGAGAGTAAGAGGCTCAAGAGAGGTTACTGTGGGACATTAATATACATGGTCTCTGTATTTTATCTAATGACTGAATAACTAGGCTAATAGAAAGGAGAAAGGAGAGATAGGAGGAGGGTAGAAAGACAACGGGAGAGAGGATAAGAACGAGAAAAAAGGCAAGG